TGGATAAGAGAAACAGTTGAATCCTTTACACTTTTGCCCTCTCAGTTTCAGCCTCCAGTGACTGTTAAATAAATTCAGTCCTCAGAAGCCTACCTTAGATTTTCATTTTTTAAACTGGAAAAAAAAAAGGGTCATCTTTCTAGCTCTTCTCTTTGAAGCCATCTGCTCTTGAACACTTTAGAGTAAGACTTGGTAACTTCGGAGTAAAATGTTTTATTGACTACTATTTAAGCAGTAATAGCAGATGAGACTAACAAAGGGGGATAATCTGAAGGGTTCTGCTGGTCGTCTCTGCACCCTTTCCATGCCCAGATTTCAACAGTAAATTATTTCCCATCCATTAGTTACACAACTCTGAAATTTGAGAATTTAATAGTTCCAAATGCTAGCTACAGAGAACAATAACTTCAAGCACTGGTAAATGTGAAACATCTTCAAAAATAAGTAGAAAAAAAAAGAGAATAAGATACAGAAATTTCCCTTAAAAATAGTGTTTGAGAAAATTAGAAAACCTATCAACCATCATGACAACCTGTTATACCAAATGGCTTTCCAGAGCATACTCAAGGAACAGTCCACTCAGAGAAATATTGTCAGCTGACTATGTATTCAGATAAAACACATAGTAACACCAAGGAAGAATATGAGACAAAGATTGTAGTTTCAGCTGGAAGTGGTGATTTAGATGATATAGGACAGTGAAATACATTCTGCAAACTAAAATATTGCCAGGTTATCACACTTAACATTTGTGCACAGAAACATGTACCGAGAAATCATTAACAAAATTTAAGAATTTGGTTTTGTAAAAAGTTATTACCAGATTTTACTCTGAAACAGTGTCAAATGAAAAGTATCACCTCCTGAACTACTAACACTAGTTCATACTAGTTAAAAAACACTGACTAGGTACAGCCCTTTTTCAAGTAATTTTTTTTCCAGGACAAAAGAAATTCAAGTTCAACTTTGATTTTGCAGTATCAGTGAAATCAAATTATGGTTGTCAAAAAACAGAAAGTACACAAAACGCAAAAGCACATACACAGCCAGTAGAACTGCTTTTTTTCCCTACTCTTTGAAGCTGCCGGTTTTCTTCTGTTGTTTGACTTTTAAACTCTCAAGTCTTTTAAGTAGAGATACATCATTGCAATAACCATAGGTAATTTCTCAATGTATGTTTCAACGTACATAATAACTGATTTCAGCTGTTTGTCTATTTAACTTGTCAGTCTAGAGGTAAAACATTATAATTACAATCAGTTAGCCATAACTGAAGACCTAGTCCTACAGGTCTTAAGAGGACTTCCTACATTGCAAAGAGGACAAGCTTCCTGCTGTATCTCACTGAGCCTGCCCCAAATTTGGTCGGGCTATATGGTCATATCCACACAGCTCTGGTAAATCACATCTGAGGACTGCAGCACCAATATTCCCTAGCTTGTAGTACCCTGCCATTGTATATAGTTGCGTTTAAGTCTAAGTTCTTATGGCAGTTCCAGGCTGCTTCTGCTACACTCACATTGCACAGGGTATAATCCTGTGCTCAACAATGCCCGTAAGTCCTTTCAGCCACTGCCCCTCCATAGAGCCTTTTAGCACCTTCCTCATGACAGCTGCATCACACACATGCCAGAACTGCCTGCTACACTACACTAGAAGTACCTCACAATTGTCACTACTATTAAAGGTATTAGGCTATCAAGTTTTCTCACCACCTACCCAGGAGTTGCTTCTGTCTGTATATATCAATCCTTAGAGGGCAGAGCAAATTAACACATCTATCCATAGGCTTAATGCCCAAGTTAGCGTCCATACAGGTACTCAACAGAGATGCCTGTCTGCAAGTACACTCTGCACCCAAACAGCAGGGGTCAAATCTAAGCTGTCTGTCACAAAGACAGAACAAAAAAACAGGTAACAGCGAGAGAAGATTCTCTAAGCGTCGCTCTCCAAAGAAACTCCTCAAATTAAGCACAGCCAAGAACATTTGCACCTCAACAACACGCAACTTCCAAGAAACCAGAGTTCCCTCGGCATCCAAAGATAAGCTTTGAAATAAACACTGCCAGATACATTGGCAGACTTCACCACCGCTGCCATGTGGCAGCGTTCATTTGGAACGCCCAGGCCAACAGGCGCACACAGCATGGCAGTCCAAGCAAAGAGGAAACTAGCAGATTGAAAAAAAAACAGAGGAGTTTCTGACTATAAAGTGATCTTTGTCTGGTTTCCCAATTAATAAACAGAATGATGGAGAGAAGCGAGTTCACGAACAAAGAAGTCAGCTGCGTGAAATGCTAAACTCATTGGAACACCCTCCCCATATTTTTTAGCTCCTGCAACAATTCAACATATGCCCCAGAGTGTACTAATTCTGAGAACAGCTATGAGAAAACGGGACTTGATTTCTCTCACGAGGAACAATGAGAGCTATCTTTGCAGTGAATCTCTGTGTGAGGTAATTTCTTCCCCACTTCTTCTCAGGACTATAATCAAAGCAGCTACTGTATGAAATCTTTAGATATCTCTGTACAGGAATGAAAGACAGCAGACAGGCAAGCTTTTTCAGTAGCACTGCTCTGACTAGGCGATCCGTAACTGGAGTAGACGGCAAGGAAGTTTATAGTGCATAGTGTTTAATCAAGTGGTGTACTTCTCACTGTCTTTCTTGTAATGTAGCTGCCCCACTCCTCTTGCCTTAACCAATTACCAAAGAAGGACCTTTCAAAACCAGTCCTCCATCTCTGAAAAGCATGCCCTGCAACATGAGGTGTAGACATGGTTTGTCAATCCTTTCTGAGAAACAAACTTGCTGGGACTGAGATATATGAATGCCATGCTTGCTTACACCTGGCAAAGAGATCAAGATTGAGAACGGCCAGAAACTAAGCAGGTAAGGCAGGCCTAGAAGTGAGGATGGACCTAAGGAGACTATGCCTGCAAGCAGCCATGTTATAAGAAGTGTGACATTTGATCGTAGATCAGACTAACAAGCGCCTCAGGATCATGCTTTGAGAAGTGAGTAACAGAGCTCAGCAGGATTTTCATACTGGAACATTGTACTTGAAACAGATGAATAGAATCGATCAAAAGTTTTGTAGCTACAAGTCATTCTTTAACATCAGTTTCCAAACCAAACCAACTACCGCAATACATAAAGCTCTCTGTGTGCACATGGGCATATCTGAGAGCACATCAAGAAATTTAAAAGTGTTTTTCGCATGCAAACAGGCACTCTAATTTGGCTAAATGCCTCTACTGCTTCTAAAGTGTCAGACACACTGTTTGCAATTTCCCACTCATATTATATAAGGAGACTGGTATCTCACAAGACTAGAAACCTGGGAGAGTGGGGAGGGAGAAGGAAAAAAAAGACATTCAGTTGTAAATACACACTTGCACAAAACACACTGAAACGATTAAAGACATGGTGACTGATTAACATTTATTGAACAAACCTTTTATTTTAAGGAGGCTAGCATAAAGTATTCCTAACACAAAGACTTCAAGCAACATTCAAAATTCGAATCATCCAAGGGTAATTTACCTATGTGCAAGCAATTCTGTATGACACTACTGCACTAGGCCTGGCTGATACCATAAAGCCAAAGCAGCACAGGGAATATTTTGTGTTCAAATGAAGACCACTCCTGTCAGTGTTTTTATCTTCTGTTACACCAGCTACGTGAAACTCTAATACCTGTGCAGAAGTGACTAGCCTCAAGTAGCAGGAAGGGGAAAAGCCAAAATGCTCTTAGCAGACACCACTTATACCCACATGCAGTAGCTGCCAAGACAAGAATGACATGAAGTATGCCTATGCACAAAGTGCTAGCTAGAAAGATGTATAGTGATGACCACTGCGCTTCCAACCTTACATAACTGGGTGCTAGGCAGACTTGGATTGCTTGGCAATCCTGACCTTAGAGTTTGGGAACAGGGTACGAGAAGAGAGGGGGACGGAAACCAGGGGTGCCAGAAGTGATGTTTCAAGGAGGGTGGTTCAGGAGTTGCTGCCCTACAAGTTCACCATACATGCAACTTTTTGATCCTCATAGGTAGAGCAGAAGGGCAGACCTGCTCTGGTTCAAATCACAGTAACCAATGGTTATTCAGTCTTGAGAATCCTCTCTAGTGATACAAGCCTGCTCTTACAATCACCTTCTTGCTGGTGCAGATGCATGGTCAGGAGACTGAGGGCTGGGAATTTTGATCCCGCTTTGGAGTTTCTGAGGACATATACTATGTGTGTACACAGGATAAATAGCAAGGAACAGTATAGGCTCTGCTATGATGCACTGTAAGAGGCAGATCAAAGCAGATTTCCTCCCAGACACGGTGGTTGCATAGACTCTCCTGGCAGGAAGGCGTAGGAAGGTGAAGAGGGGAACTAAAGGGTGCACTAAGACACCAGTGATATCTGCAGAGTCCTACTGCAGTGTGTCTGCTACTCAATCCAGGTTCTGCATCTAGAAAGCACAGTATCACTTCTTACCTACTGCACAAAACGAAGAACCAAAAACTCAATGACTATTTTATAGCTGTAAATTAGCTCACCACTGCACTTGCTATTAATTCCCGCTTGATTTTTTTTTTTTTTTAAATCATCTCATTGCCCTTTGCTAATAGAAGACTAAATTACTTGGAAGAACAATAAAGCTCATCACACTTTTCTAACCAGGATTGAATCTGTAGAACAAATGAGCAGGTAATGATTTATCATATGCACAAAACTTGCCTCAATTCAGAAAATACCAACGCACACCATTTAATGTAGTATAAAAGCAGTTAAAAAGCAGAATATAAATTATAGAAACAGATTTCATTCAAAAAGCTTTAACAGAAATAGACATGTAAAGAAAATTTTTGATTGTTTATAAGCAAACAAGAATCCATACAGATATAGCAAAATATTTGTCTTATTTTTATTACCGTTAAAGCTGTAATTGTAAAAATACTTCAAAATAGTTCTAGGTAAAACACGAGAAACAATCGCTTACCTGATAGTAACTTTTTATTTGCTTCACTAAAATTGACAAATTTTGAATCCTTAATGATGCATCGTTATTGACCTTTTTGTTTATTCTCTGGCTGGCAGACTTTGGATTGCTGCAAGAATTAAATAAAAAGAATTCAATAGGGTGAAAATTAATCTTTAAACCTCTCTCTAAAATAAGTTAGATAATGTACCATCATAACAACTTCTTGTCTTGGTTACCATGCATTTTTCCCCTATAAGTAAATAAGAAATTATGGAAATGATTGCCAGAGGCAGAGAGAAATTAAAACATCCATTTCTGATAATCAGGTTAGCACCCTTTTTGGCTATTCATGCAATACGTAACTGGTAGCATCTATCAGAAACACAGGAGTCCGGATATAAGAAGAGGAAAGTTTTCTGTGGCTGGAGAAGTGGAGAGCTGTCTATATAAGGAGCCTCATTTCCAAGTGAATACAAAAACTGGAATACGGCTATAACGTAAATATTCCAGCACACGTTGCACACATCAGTAATCATACTTTCATCTCTTTTCCCCTCAAAAGAGTAGAAAAGATTTGATGAAATGCAGATTAGTCATCCTTCTGCAATTCCCTGTAACATACTAAGTTATTAACCACATAGAAGAGAGCGCAACAAACAGCTACTGTGATTTTTCAAGGAAAAACAGAGTCAATGCATTTCTCCAACATCATCCATGAAAGGCTTAGAGAACTGCTAGAAGATATACCATTGTGAAGTTTAACTTTGACGAAGGTAACGGATACAGCTGCACACAGCTTTTTAAAGAGCTTAAACGATATTGTAAATTAATTTGCAACTAGCTAGAAAACTGTACTCAAACAAGAAATTATCAACTTGTCGCTGTCAAACTAGAGGTTCCTGTAACGGTGTGCCTAATTTTATTGAACATTGCCATTAATAGTTTTAGACAATGGAATACAGAATACATGTACAAGAACTGCGATTGGCATAAACTGAGAGGAATCAAAAGCATTTCAAAGAATGCTATGACAGTTCAGAATGATCCTGGTAAACTGAGAAAGTGGACCAAGAGGAATTCAATATTGACAATATCACAGGACATGCAAACAAATATTAACGAACAAAGAACGCCACTGCCAAGACACCTCTACTTCTTTCATTTGCTAGTAGAGATGTTGTCTGGAAGACAGACAGTTATTCTCTACATAGTAGAGATGATGGCTCAATTGCTTACTATGAAGCCGCTCTTTAGGAAAGGTCTGGATTCGTACTTTTTCCACGGGTGAATCACCTAGATTCTAAGTAGCATGCAAAGGCCTTCCCTCAATTTCTTCAGTATATTGTATTACAAGTTGAAGTGTTACACATCTGTACCTTGACAATTGGAACTGCCTATTAAAAAGCTCATTCAACCCACAGAGCATACTCCTGAGGAGTCCGTTAGAAGGAGGTTGAATAGAGCAGGCTGTAGGTTAGCATGAACTCTCTTGGCAGGACACCTAGAACCTGCAACCTGAAAGCCAGATGCTACTGATGTAAGCAAAGAGAAGACTGTGCAGAGGACAACAGAAAACACACACAACATACAGAACAAGTATACAGTTTACTTAAAAAAGCTCTATCATAATTTAAGGTAAAAAAAATTGTCATGTTTAAGCTATAATTTGACTTTATCATAGTAGATACTGGGATCTAATTTTTAGGTTTACTACAAATAATCCCAGATAACCTCTCAACTAGGCTCAAATTCTTTCACCAGTAAAACAGAGTAACTTTTAAAAACCCATAATGATTTGAAGTATCAGTACAGTAAGTGCTATCGGCCACTTGACAGCTTTAGCCTGGATAACGGCAAAAGCTTGCCCTCAGAAATCACTACTGTCTTCCGTAACGATGAACTTCTGCACTAACGTACTGTAAAGTCTGTCTTTTGCAGTTTGCTCATCCACCTCAATGTGCAACTGTAATGCGCAACACAGAAAAAGGGTATAACAAAAAGCCCATGACTTCTGAGAGACTGAAAAGGATTTGAAAGGTTCCTGCAACACAGACACAATGCGTGGTGTGTTTTTTTTTTTTTTTTTTTAAAAACACACACTGGAAATTTGTGGAAAGAGAAACTGAAGAACTGAAGGAGGGAGCTCCAGCTATAGAAGCAACATATATGATCACGTAGTTCGGCCGACCCAAAACAAAGGACCGCATCCTTAAGTGGAACTGTGGGAACTACAAGCATTGTTATGTATGCATAGTATAAATACGTATTCTAATATTTAAAACTGTAAAAAACTTAAAAGGGTCTGCCACAGCAGGAAAACGTTATACATTAAAATAGGTATGTCTGAATTTCATAGAAGTTATGACAAAGATTAACACCCTGATCTTAAGTAGAAACATACTTTCACTTATATGAACTACCCAGGCTACTCATAGGATAAACAGTTTCAATTTGGCTTTTTTCTTTGAGTCAAATCTGCATCTCTTCATAATAAAACTTTAGTCAGCACTACAGAAGAGTTGATTAAGCTTTTAATATATTATCACCCACTTGTGTACCAGACTTCACTACTCAATTCATTTCAAGTCATAAGTCAAGATGCGCCCTTATACTCAGCTCCATTCATTTACAAGAACTTAACCCAGAATAAATTTTCATGTGGTCATCTGTAACAGAGAAGTCAAATCACAGAAGATCTTGCTTTCCCTGCATACATCCTGGTCCACCCCACAGCAATAATTGCAAATACAAAACAGATTACTGCTTATGCATTCATCATCTTAAGTGCATGCAAAGCACATTATTATTATACCTAACATATGCATACAAGACTATTGATATACATAGGATTAATGCATTTTTGTATACAGACATTAAAATGATATTGAGATATTTAAATATAAACAAACAACCGAAAAAAGGTGGGGGCCTATCACCTCTGCTGAACATAGTATTATCATGAATTATTTTGATGCAACTTACTACTTTGATTTGGTAGCGTTTGGCATGCTCTTTGTACAGGTGTGATTACAGACAAATTCACATACTTTTAAGTTAATTAAATGAACTTTTTATTCGCTTTTTACTGCTTTGCTTTTTTAGCATTTTATAATTTTAAAAAATATTGGTGTGCTTTTTCAATCCGTTATTATTAAAATTTCATTATTTAGGAGCATGAGTGGGAACGATGTAGAAAAATCACGGCTGAGAAAGGAAACGATGATATTTAAGACACATCAACAACCGTCATTTTTAAAAGGAAAGCAGTATGCACAACATTCTCCTTCTTTGCATCTATGAATACGCACCTAGGAAAATTAGGGAACAGACTCTTCTGTGGATAATTAGTCTTCTTCCTAAACGCTAATCACCACGTTACTTGTTCATAGCAGTTTCAGGAAAGTATGTTATAGTACAGCCAACACTGTGACTTTGATATTATCCTAGATGTATTATTTAGAAGAGTCAACCTTTAGCTGCAAAAATAACTAAACGGACTAAAAATGGTTATGCTTTAGACTTGCAGAACTGTGAAATCCTTTCCAGACTGAATTCACACGAATTCGTTAAAATCGGAAAAGAAAATCCAGGATAAACCCTGCTGACCTGACAGCATACAGAGTGAAGTCTCCTATTTCTGCATTCTTATCTCCAAAAGGCCGATTTGGACCCTTAATCTTCACCTTTAATCTTAACGACTGTTGGATTATCTCTCGGCTTTTCATCATCTTCAACAGCATTTCTACAGCTGTATGTTTTAGCTGAATCTCCCTTTCCATCATTCAAAAAGAGAGGATATCATAACAGCTCTTTATTTAAGATCAACAAAATGAGTGTGTAACCACAAGAATTCAAAACACATATGTCAAAAAGCTCAGGCTTTAAGACTTTCTCACTTCAAAAGCTCTATTAAAGACTTCAGACAGATCTTGCAAGAACAAAACAGTTGACATTTGCATCGCAGTATGTCTTCGTAACATTAGACGAACATTAATCTTCACATACTTTTAAGACAAACGATTAATATCCCAATACTGCACATGGGAAATGAAAATAGAAACAAATTCCTGAACAACAGCAAAAACAACCAACGACAAAAAAAAAATCTGTGTGAGGAAGAAAAACCACAGGCAACTAGAGCCCAAGATTTCTTAGGACATAAGTTCTCAGTTCCATGCCTTTGCCAACAGCGTTCCTTTTAAATTCCACACTACAGTAATTCACTACTAGCACTGGTGTACTAGCATACACCAAAAGATGAGGTAAATTTACTTTCTCTTTCATTGGATAATATGAAAAATAAATCTTTGAAATCGCTAAGTCATAACGTTTGGAGAAGATCAGTAAGTAAAGGATGTCATTATACCCGTACCTGGTTTTTGCTACTGAATACCAGCATTTTTCCCTGCAGTGCAAAAATAAGTAACATCTCTCACACGATGCACTATCAGATCTCAACAAGATATAAGCATTTTTAAAACAGTTTAGTAGGAACTTTATCAACAGTATTACAAAAAACCCAGTCATCTTTCATCCTCAGCTCACATGATCATAATTCAAGTTTCATCTTTTCCAACTTAAACCTTAAAAAACCAATAGTTTATGGATCAGCTCTGACTAGTTAAGCATGAACAAAGATAGTTAAAACAGCTGTAGTATTAGTCTTGCATCAAAATTAAAGTTGATGTGTATCAAAGATTTTTGGAGTTATTATATTAAAGAAATCATATTTTGCCTTCAACAGTAGTTTATTTCCACCAAATCACCCCATGAGTCCCTCCCCCTATATATTTATCTGATGCGGTGCATTATCTTTATCTTTCCAGGCTAACTCAATGGTTGACACACAATCCTTACATTTTATGGGAATTCTAGGCTTTTTAAGTGATAAAAATCATGCTGCTTGGGGTCAAAATGTTTCATTTCTGTATCTTAAAATGGAAACTGTTTTTCTTCCATGAATTGCAGGAAACAGCTTACCGAGGTTGTGAATTTTCTGCGAGAACTTTGTGCCATGGATGTCTTCTAGACATGTATCTTTCCCCCTTGGGAAAACTCACAGTCTAACTACAAGATCCTCTGCTAGTGAAGACTATCACTAACTTAAAAAGTTTAGAATGTCAGGCT